AGAGGTAAAGGATCTGTACTCTAAAAACTACAAAACACTTATGAAAGAAATTGAGGAAGACACAAAGAGATGGAAAAACAGTCCATGCTCACAGAAGGTGTTTTTAAATGGGGCTCACAGCCTCATTTCCTGCATGAAGTCTGTCACTCTAGGGGAGGAGGAGCTCTGTTAGGGGAATCCTTTGTTTCCGGAAGTGCTCCAAATCCACTGCATGCAAAGTATTTTCAACTGGTGATTCTAATCTTCAGTTTTAAGACTTGCAAAATGTTGGGGCGCCTGGGTGGCTAAGTGTCTGCCTTCAGCTCAGGTCATGATCCCAGGGTCTTGGGATGGAGCCTTGGACTCCTTGCTCAGCAGGGAGCCTGCTTCTTCCTCTCCCTCTGCCTGCCGCTCCCCGTGCTTGTACACTCTCTCTCTCTCTGACTATCTCTCTTGCTCTGTCAAATAAATAAATAGAATCTTCAAAAAAAAAAAAAAGGACTTGCAAAATATTTGTTTAGAAATTTTCCTTAAATATCATTTAGGAAATATTTTATTTTCCCTTTTAATCCTAAATATTAATTACTATTTATCTTTTCCTCTGTCTTCTTAAAAGGAAATTTCATGTTCTCCAACTGTACCTCATCGATGCAGATTTCCTCCTTGGCTACAGTGTTTCTTGGGATTTTCATCATATTTTGGGTCTGCAGGGATCTTACCTCCAAACATAGAGCGGTTTGAACTTTGCTTTTCTGATTTGATGTATTTCTCACCCTTCTTCATCAACATACCTAACTAGTGTCCTTGTTTGCTTTTGGGACAATAAAGGGCATTACCTGTAAATGACTGGGCTTCAGTGGATTGTCTTAGAGTACATCTTCTCTCCATCTCTCGAAGTCTTGTGCTTCAGTTTTGGTTTATCGTGATAAGAGGTCGTGTTTGCTGGCTGCCTCCTGGGTGGGAGACATTGCTTTACTCTTTGTAGGGGGTGTCTCATTTGATGCTTCCAACTTTGTGAGGTGCTGTGATCTCCATTTTTATAGATGAAATGATAGCCAGAAATTGCCCAACAAGCCAATGGTGGGACTGGGATGTCAGCCTCTCATCTTCAAGCTCACATGGTAAACCAGAATTATAATATTGTAGTCTGATTTGTTTGCCTGGCCTCAGTGTGGAAGCACCTGTTAAGTGCCAGGCTCTATGGGAAGTGGGTTAGCACAGCTGCTGTGACCTAGGCACGATTTTAGCCCCATGATTAGTGATGAAAATGATACAGAAGGGTTGAATCTCCTAACTGCCCCAAGGAGCAGGCTCGCAGGGTCTGTCTGGCCACATCCTGACTCTAGTTGAAGAACTTAGCTTGGCTCACGGTCTCTCCATGGCTGTGCTCTGCTCCTGAACTTGTATGCTTTGATCTAGCTTGACAACCTGATGGGTGAAAAGAATAGTACTTTCTTGTAGTTTTAATTGCGTTTTTCTTACCAGGAACGACAAGCAGCTTCTCATTTTTCTAAGTACGGTCTATTTATATCTTTTGTTTTTGCTGAATTTTCAGATCCGACAGCTTCCTTTATCTTTCCACCTTTCCCTCAACAGCACTGAGTCCCTTTCTCAGACATGCCGTGTTTGTGTGGATTAACACAGAAAGCAAACAGTGAATAATCTATTCCTCGTTTATTGGTCGCAGCTTCAGTGCTTGTTATGTTTCTTTTCCTATGTCTTTTTTCAAATAAGTCACACATTTAAATGAAAAAGAAATGAGCAAGCAGCCTCATTCATTTAGAATGGATGGTTGTGGTTCATGGTAATTGCATTTATGTGGGAAGAGGTTTATCAGTCAGGATAGAGAGGGTTATGCCATGGTAACAAACAATCCCTAATCTCCGTGAGTTTTACATGGTTGAGTTCTGCCTCACTGGGTCAGCACGTGGTTTCTGTTCTATAATTTCTGAGGGAGCCAGGCTGGGAGGGGCTTCAGCTCAACCCACATGTCCATGATCTTAGAGTCAAGAAAAGAGAATGCAACAAGCTTTGAGTTGGCTTTTAAAGCCTGTGGCCTGCATGACACGTATCACTCCACTCACCCCACTGGCCAGAGTCAGTTATTCTGCCACACCCAGGGTCAGAAGGGCAGAGAAATGGGATTCTGGACATGCACAGCCCAAGGAAGACAAACGCTGGTGAGTCCCAGGTGACCCACCACGCTGGGTGTGCCCCATCTTTTCTACCTCAAGCAGCAGGAGTCCTTGGAATACACTGAGCAATATGAGAGTGGGTATTAACTTAATAAACAGGTGCTTGGGGGCATCTGGGTGGCTCAGTCGGTGAAGCGTCTGACTTCGGCTCAGGTCATCATCTCAGGGTCCTGGGATTGAGTCCCGTGTCCAGCTCCACACCCAGCGGGGAGTCTGCTTCTCCCTCTGCCTCTCCCCTCCCCTGGCTCATACTCTCTCTGTCTCTCTCTCAAATAAATAAAATCTTAGGGAAAAAAACACACAGATGCTTGATCTTGACAAGAACAGTTGCTACAGGTGAAGACAGAGGCCCTCCCTCGTGCTCTTGAATCCCTGGAGAAAGCCCACGGCCACATTATTGATAAGCCAGCTGAGTCACAGACATGATTTTTTTTTTTTTTAAGATTTTATTTATTTATTTGAGAGAGAGCACATGAGAGAGGGGAGGGTCAGAGGGAGAAGCAGACCCCCTGACGAGCAGGGAGCCCGATGTGGGACTCGATCCAGGGACTCCAGGATCATGACCTGAGCCGAAGGCAGTCGCCCAACCAACTGAGCCACCCAAGCGCCCCAGACATGATTTTCTAAAAGCCGCGTCTTCAGGACTGGCCGGCACTGGATAGTCACTGAAGCCGGGGGAAGGGTTATATTGCTGTTCCACCTGCTTTTCTATGTGTTTGAAAATGTCCATAATAAAATGCAGTTTCCTGTGCATTTGGCACATTCATTTCCCCTCCGCCAAAGCTGTCTCACTTTGTTCTTATCCTGTTACAGCATGTGTTTCAGCTTACCTCAGGATTTGTTTTGACAGGAGCACATTTAAAAAAATTATTTGGGGGGCACCTGGGTGGCTCATTCGGTTAAGTGTCTGACTCTTGATTTCAGCTCAGGTCATGATCTCAGGGTCATGAGTTCAATCAAGCCCCATGTTGGGCTCCATGCTCCGTAAGTAGGCATGGAGCCTACTTAAAAAAAAAAAAAAAAAAATCCATGGGGCGCCTGGGTGGCTCAGTCGTTAAGCGTCTGCCTTCGGCTCAGGTCATGATCCCAGGGTCCTGGGATCGAGCCCCGCATCGGGCTCCCTGCTCGGCGGGAAGCCTGCTTCTCCCTCTCCCACCTCCCCTGCTTATGTTCCCTCTCTCGCTGTGTCTCTCTCTGTCAAATAAATAAATAAAATCTTCAAAAAAAAAAAAAATCCGATTATCCTATTGGATGCACAGGAAGTGGCTCCGTGCTCAGCATGGGGTCTGCTTGAGATTCTCTCTCCCTCTCTCTCTTTCAAATAAATAAATAAAATCATTAAAAAAACTTATTTTGTTGGCTTTTCCTTTGTTTTAAAATATCAGATTTTTATATATAATGTTTTAAGGTATTTCTTGATGACCTCTAGTTATATGGGTGGTTTTGTTTTTTTTTTCCGAGATGCGGGTTTATTGAATTTGAGAGTTCAATTAGACTACAGGCTTCCGATAAAAAATATTTTCCTTCCTTTTCCTTTACCTCCTGCATAACCTCAGTGTATATTTTAGGGGCAGGGTTGTTTTCTTTGTTTATAAAAAGAAAGCTGTCATGGCCTTAAGACCATACGGTCCAGGGGCCAGCGGTTGGGAGACACAGATAGAATGCGGTTGGCATCACACACGTCTTGTGACATTCTTCCAGAATGCCTGCTTTGTTTTAGGCTCTGTGCAGAGTGCTGAAAACCACAGAGGAGAAGACAGCATACTCAGCCCTCAAGTTGCTCCCCGCCTAAGTCAGCCCAGGAGCTGATAATCATTAGGACAGTTGTAAATCGGTGACAGATGTGCACATGTAGCCCAGGGCAGGAGTCACTAAACACACAGGATGGGGTGCCCTGCCAGGGCGGGGACCATTCTGCCTCCAGGAAAGGGGACGCTAAGTCTCACGTGAGGAAAATTAGCCAGGTGCACAGGAAGGAGGTTGGGCAGAGGGGCAGGCGGGAACCACAAATGGATCTGTGTTGCTACAAAGTTTGAAGCTGAAGTATTAAGAGATGGATGGGGGAGGGGGAGGCAAAGCAGGCAGGAGTCATGCTATGGAGGCCTTTGAGTGGCTTTTTAAGAAGCGTGGACTTCACCCTGTAGGCTTTGAGCAAATATTTGTGGCTTGTTCCATAACTACAGACACTTTGTATTATAAGATTGAGTCATGAGGAGCCACCCAGCCACAGCACTCTGCCCGTGGTCACTTGAGGCTGTGCAGAACGGCAGTGATCCACTCACACTCCTGACCGTGTTCCTCAGCTACCACAAATACCCAGGCTGCTTTAGCGCAGACAAGATCTGTATCCAGCCGGCAGAGGCCTGGCCCAGGAATCCTGTTGCTGCACCCCAGCAGAGTGGGGCATTTCTCCTGTGGGACGTGGGTCCTTCCCACCCAGCAGGATCACCAACTGCTGAAGATGCCAGGAGTCATGGGCTAGAGGTGTGCTCCCCCACCGTTTCTTCTGGGGTGACCCCTCACTCAGAGCCACCTGCCTGCGAAGCTGAGCTAGGAGAATGATGGGGATAATTCAGACCTCTTCTTCCCAGGAAGATGCCAAGGGCTTCCCCAGCACACAGACAAGGGTCTTCTTAGGGATGAGGGTCGAGTCCGCCGCCCCCACCCCCAGCCCGATATAGTCTATGTTCTGCTTAGCCTCGGGTGTGGACTGGAGCCCTCACTGGTACCCGGGTTTCCATGTGTGACCGAGGAGTTGGTCTTATGGTGACAGGGTCTCTCTTGCTCTTGATTCTGATGCCTGCCTCATCTCCAGCATTGCTAGGGGCTTCGCTGATACCCATGTCCCTGGACCCTGGCTCATGGCCCCCCAGTGTTCCCCACGCAGGCCCTTTGTCTTCCTTTTGCATCTGCTCGTGTCTTCCTAGCCCTGGAAGATTTACTTTATATGGTAAATGTCGCTCCCTTCCTCCTCATGTTTTTCCTCTTGTTTTCCAGGCCCTTCAGAGTAACCTGAGGTATTCCTTATTGCCGAGACGGCTCATTATCAGCAAGAGGTTAGCTCAGTGCTTGCATCCTGCTTTGCCCAGCGGTGTGCACCTAAAAGCCCTAGAAACCTATGAGATTATCTTCAAAATTGTGGGGACCAAATGGCTGGCCAAGGATTTGTTCCTATACAGGTATAGTAGCTTCCTACCATATCACATTCTTATTACCTGAATAATCCGCATTTCGGTTCATAAGATGAGAAAATGACAAAATAGGGAGTGGTGAGCAGCAATTCATCGTAAAGATGCCAGCAGGAGATAAACAGCGCTTACGTCGGGAACGCACCCTCCCAGGCCTTTTTTTAAGTGTGTTCGAAGTCTGACTGTGATGGACCTCCTGTCTAGGTGCCTGCTCTTTGCCGGACGGTACGTTGGGACCGTCCCGTGATGAGCAAGCGTCTACAGCCCCAGTGTAAACGGCTGGCTGGCTGCTTTTGAAAACTCCCTGTGGCTGGGTGATTGTTGCAAACTTCTGATTCGGTGTCTCATTTGTCCCTCCTCTCCCCTTCTTCTTTTCCAAAGCTATGGCTTGTTTCCTCTTCTGGCAAACGCGGCCATGTCGGTGAGGCCCGTGCTGCTCGGCCTGTATGAGAAGTACTTTCTCCCACTGCAGAAGCTGCTCCTGCCCAGTCTCCAGGCCTTCATTGTGGGCCTGCTGCCCGGCCTGGAGGAGGGCTCTGAGATCTACGACAGGTGGGTCTCATCCTCACGGACGTGCTGACAGTTCTGTAGCTTGTGTGTGATGCTGCCGCTTTGGGAGAAGCGGGGAGGGAGGTGCAGGGGTCTGCACGGCAGGGAAAGATGCAGAAGTCGGGGTGATGCTTGACATTGCTGTGCAGGTCTCTGCTTGACCAAATACTGCAGGAATTGCCTGCAGTCACAGGTGAGAGTCAGAAAGTGAGAAGGTTTCCCAGAGTCCCATGGTCAGTGAGTGGCAGAGCTGGGATCCTAAGCCACATAGGTCAGATTCCGAAGCCTGCTTTTCTCCCGTTACACTAGGCTGCTTCTCGGTCGAAGCAGAGCCATGCTTCATTGATGGCTGGGGCACGCAAAGGCGATGCTAAGCAGAATAGCTTGACAAATTTCAGCAGCACTTTGGGGAAATTTGTAAAGCCCGTATGCATAAAAGTTCATGCAAGGGTTATTTTTGGTCATGCTTAGGAGCAGAAGAAAGCATAAATCCATCCAGACTATTGGGTATACACAGTATCCTGTTTCTCTGGGGAATCATCACATTAAGAGTTCACTCCTGTCATATTAACCATTCTGAGTGATCGCTGTGATTAACCTCTGTTAATAGGACCTGCTTTAAGAGCCCATGTGCAGCCTGACTGGGAGGTTTAGAAACCTCTGTGCTTGCAAAAGTTTCCATCTGATTACACCACACACTGCTCACATTTCCCCCACACCAGAGGCCCCAGCCACACCGCCTTTGTCACGTTGGCTGTGACTGGGGGTGGAATGTGGGGGGCTGGGGTGGAATCAAGGAATCAATCCAAGGTCTGTTTGGAGTGCTCCCCTAAACTCAGAGAAACCAAATAATTAGAATGGTTTGAGGGATTGTGGCCAGTGACCAAGGGTACATTTAAGTCATGAGCATTTGTAGTAGAATTTGACAAACCTAACCAAAAATTTGCACTTCAAACATTTCAAACTTTCACATAGAACAGGTGGTGGCTTCCCACTTCCCAGTGAAGAGTCCACCTTTGCAGTGGGTCGGGTCGGTAGGATCTACTTCCTTAGGAGGCAGAGTCTGTGTCGGGGCTATTTTAAGCCTGTGGCCATATGCAAGATTGGTAGGTGTGTGGAGGGAATGAGCAGAAGGTCATTTAAAAGTCAGCGAGAGGACCCTTCCCAGATCTGTCCCAGGCTCTTTCTAGAAGTTCTGGCCCATTCCTGTTTCCCAAACAGATCCGTGTATCACAGTGTATATAAATGTTTTTTCCATCATCTGACAGATGAACACATCAGTTCCCAAAATGTATTGCAGTTTTTTTTTTTGATTTGTAAGAATGAATCACACCAGAAGAGTGTAAATAGTTGGGGTGTTTTTGTGCATTCTCTTAGTTGAACAATGAGGGTTCATTTGAACATCTGCTAAAGTTGCTTAACATGGATTTTTTTGGTGTGATTTCTTGACATCGAACCAAGAGCTGAGTAGAGCTGCATGAATCACTGAGTAGATGGAGCCATGAGAGAAAACCAGGCCCAGTGTCTGCAGCACCCCAAAGCCATTCGTTATCAGCTCTCTGAGGTGGATGCTGGTCGAGGGTTCTAGAATCTCTGAGTGGGTGTGTATGGGCACAGTAATTGGGATGACTGCACCAGAGTCTTGGGTCTCTGTATCCACGTTAGTTTGAGAGAAGTCGGCAACTCTTTCTTCCCCTAAGTGCTCAGGAGCCGAGGCAGACACCCACAGCAAACACTGTGCAGGAACAAGAGAGGGAGGGGTGGGGGGTGAAGGGGAGGGTCCTGATGTCCCCGTTGGCAGCAAACGCAGAGGGCTGAGTTAGGCTGGGGCCTCTGCAGGCCGGGTGACTCACGAATTCCCTGGAGGCGCAGACTGTTCCTGGCTTGTGCTTGTCCGTGGAACTCTGGCCAGTGTTAGGACTAACGCTTCACCCTGTCTTTCTAATCCTTGTGTGCCTGCGAATTACTCCTGGCCAGATTTTCTTCTTTCAAGTGCCCATGAAGTAGCTTCACAGCTGCGTTTTGCTGCACTGAGAAAGCAGGAGTAGTGTGGAGAAAGTACCAGACTCCTCTTCTGAGGATTTGGGGGAAAGGTGACTATTTGCAGAGGTCTGTAAGCAAGCAGAAATGTGAGTCCGCGGTTCTCAGCTGGGCTGATTTGTATCCCCCAGGGAAGTTTGGCATCATTCTTCTGGCTGTTACCACAGGGTAGAGAGGATGCTACTGGCGTCTAGCGCTCAACGTCCTGCAGCGACATGATTGTCCCCACGACGAAGGCTTATCTGGCCCAAAGTCCATCGTGTCAGGGTTAAGAGAGCCCCATTTAAATAGTAGTTGAAACATATGTATATATTTTTAAGATTATTTATTTTAGAGAGAGAGCGTGCAAGCGAGCAGGGGGAGGGACAAAGGGAGAGGGAGAGGGAGAGAGAGAATCTCAAGGAGACTCCCTGCTGAGCATGGAGCCCAACTCGGGGCTCAGTCTCGTGACATGAGATCATGAGCTGAGCTAAAATCAAGAGTTGGACGCTTAACTGACTGAGCCACCCAGGCGCCTGGAAACACATTTATTGACCTCTCTTTTGGTTGATTCCAGGCACCACGGTGAGCTCTGCTGGTTCTAGGATTTTTTTTACCCCTCTGGACATGGACCTGACCTGTGGTGGTGCAGGACGCTGTTGTCACTGTTGTGCTCCTTCAGATGCTCATGCCCCAAGCTCTTTGCTCTTGTGACAGCCTGGCTTTCCAGGACCATCCACTAGGCAAGTGGCTACATGGCCAAAGTTGGGAAAGGCTTGGGGTTCATGGCAAGCGGTCTGTGTCACTTGCTGTCCATCGAATAGAGGAGAGCATGTGGGTGTCGTGCGAGTGAGCTGGTGTTCGTAGGAGGCATGAGCGCACCAGCCAGCGTGAGGCAGGAGGGATGGAAGTAGGAAGGGTTTGGAGGTTGCTGGTTGATTCTGAATAGAAAAGATTGCAAGTCCTGGGCTCTCAAATGTTGTGCTAATTTTGGAATTTCACATCTGAGATGATGGGAGTGATTCTTATTTAGTAGAGAGTTACCTGCCTCTTAACCCAGTTATCTTGCTCTTCACTGTGCGCTCCATAGCCAAGGCTTGTCATAATCGCCCTTTTGTGAACCATGGCATCGTTTAAGTTTTTAATATCTATTAATTTTTTTAGGATAAAATGAGACTTAAGCTGCATTTCTTTAATAAAGAAAACTAGCTGGCGCACTCTGAATATTGAAGAAGGGATAGCTGAGGCGGCATTACCCAGATTTCTTGTCTGTGGACCAGCTCGTGGCCAGCGTTCCGTGCAACTGACTTTGGGAATACACTGTTCTGAGCAAAGGGGAACGTGATATCAGTGTGTACATTGCAGTGTTTGCGACGGGTTTTATCTAAGCGTCAGTCTTCCCCTGAGAGGGATCCTGGGGAAAGGGGAGCACTCCCAGGGGCTTTCTCAATTAATCTCCTACTGTAGGAATCTGCCTAGCTTGGGGACATCCTGTCTGCCCAGGGGACAGTGACCCATCAGCCCCACCTGCTGCACCATGCTTCTGCCTCAAATTGCGGCCTTTGCTGCGCTATTTTCAGAGCTGGGCAAGATAAGCTGTATTTGTTTGCTCAGCCTCAATAGGAGATCAGTCGGTATCTTTAGCCACTAAACTCTTCTGTGTGCTTTTCCTAAACATTTGGCTGTTACTCATACCTCTTCAGTTTTGTTTTTCTATAAAGATGACACTGTGCATCATTTGCACAGTAAAAATCACATATTTTGTGAGACAAAAAAGTTCAGACTAGCTTTAAAGAGAACAAAATTCGCTGTTAATATAAAAAGGTAGTAGGGGCACCTGGGTGGCTCAGTCGGTTAAGCATCTGACTCCTTATTTTGGCTCAGGTCATGATCTCAGGGTCGTGGGATCGAGCCCTGTGTTGGGCACCTCGCTCAGTGGGGAGTCTGCTTGAGATTCTCTCTCTCTCTCTCCCTCTGCCCCTCCCCCTTCATGTGCGTGCATGAGCTTTCTTGCTCTCTCAAATCTTAAAAAAAAAAAAAGGTAGTAGATAATTTTTGGTATGAAAAGTCTTTGTATACCCTGAACTGATTATTGAAAAGTAAGCTGAAGACGATTTGAGTCGTAATAGAAGGGCGGGGGTGGCATTCATTTCACAATGGTTTTGAGCGCTACCTGTGTGGCCGGTGATCCTCTGGATGCTAAGGACGCAGACCCGGTGGTCATGGCAGGCGGCGGGGCCCAAGTGCATGTTCGCCCATGCAGGGTTTTACACGAGACTCTCCAGTCCTGCTCAGAACGTCTCCCTCTCTCTTCTGTATCTCCTAGCTGACAGCCAACGTGTACATTCGTCCTAGGGACCACTGCCAGGAGGCAGACACGGGATTTGGACGACAGGGGCCTGACTCCAGGAAGCTGGGTAGCCCATTGCATCACACTGGGCTACTCCTTCTGTGATATTTGTGTGTCTTCTTTGCAAATAGGAGATGCGAGGAGTGGAATGCTTTTGGATTTTGAGTCCGTCCACTCATTCAGTGAAATCCCCTTGTGGGAATTTGCCTCTGCTGTTTTATTGACAGCTGCTCTCATCGGCCTAGCAAAGCCGTTTCCATAGTTGACAGGGCAGGTGCCCTAGTCAGCTGCACGCGGGCCACGGAGCAGAGGCGGGGGGCCTGGCCTTGGGCAGTATCCGTGGAAAAAACAAACCCAGACCTGCTGATGACGCTGCTTCTCTTAAAGGACGGACGTGAAGTTGCTGATGGCGTGTCAGGGGAGAGAGACCCAGATAGAGATAAGGGACAAAGAAATGTCAGGCATCAGCAGGAGAACGTTCCAGAGCGGAAGTCAACATAGGGGCGCGCTGTGGGCAGAGTGACAGGCTTTGTGGAATTTGTGTCGAGTGGGAGGCCCAGGCAAATTTTATCCCCAGTGTTTCTAAAGTCAGATGTCCCCTGGCTGTGCTCAAGGGGGGGGATCTTTATCATTACTTAAGTCTCCAGTCAGTTGCACCAACCTCTTGAGGCTGATCCGCTCGTCCCTTTGTGGCGGTGGAACGGCCCTTCCTGCAGATCCACAGACACAATTGGTCAGACACTTCCTGTTGGCCAAGAAGCCATACGTCTCGGGGACATGTTTGTCTTAGCAAACTCCGTTTCAGTGACTGCAGGCAGGTGGACAGAACAGAAGGGCAAGAGATGGCCGCCACTCAGAAGGATGAGGAAATGGGGTTCCACGGGGGGGCGGGGGGAGGCTGAGCAAGCGGTGGCTGCTGGGACCGAGCCTTTACAGTCTGTATCTCTTATCCACAGGACAGACGCTCTGCTCCTGAGGCTGTCCCTGGTGGTCGGCAAAGAGGTGTTTTATGCTGCCCTTTGGGGGAGCGTCCTGGTGAGCCCGGCCATCCGCCTGCCCGCCTCGCTCTTTGTGGTGGGCCACATCAGCAGGGACTGCCCGGGCAAGGAGCAGAAGTACATGCTGGGGACAGATTACCAGCTCACGGTGGGTGCTTTGCTCATCAGGGGGGCAGAGTAGGGCAGGCGGGGCCGGCTTCCTCGTGCACAGGTTGTCAGCTGGGGCTGCAAGGGGACATCGGTGTGAGCAGCAGGGAAACGGAGGTGTTCCAGGCATCAGAGTATGTGCGCTCTGCTGCTGAGCAAGACAGGAGGCGTCAGGGGCGCCTGGGTGGCTCAGTCGTTAAGCATCTGCCTTCGGCTCGGGTCATGATCCTGGGGTCCTGGGATCGAGCCCCGCATCGGGCTCCCTGCTCCGCGGGAGGCCTGCTTCTCCCTCTCCCACTCCTCCTGCTTGTGTTCCTGCTCGCTCTCTCTGTCAAATCAATAAATAAAATCTTTAAAAAAAAAAAAAGACAGGAGGCGTCAGTACGCAGGATGAACCCCAGGACGGTGGTGGTGGTTTTTCACATATGCATTAACGATTTACATATTCAAATACATATCTGCACCTAAAGAGGGCCCTTCTGGAGGCCCCCCCACCATGCTTCAGTGGTACAGTTAGCTGTTATCAGCGCTCCAGGGGCCTCGCAGAGTCTCCTGCTTTAGCTAGAACCTTGCTTCCTCCCTGGCCTGTGTCTCACTGCCCTCCCCCCGCCGCCCCCCCACCGTCTGCTCATCAGGCTCCCTCCTCCTCCGGTCTCAGTCTCTCAATGTCGTCCTCTCCTCTGGCTGCTCTCAAGCCAAGATTGTCAGAGTTCTTCGGATATCCATCCCCAGGCCCTTCGGAGGGCTGCTTTCTTCCCTGGCAAGGCCGTCTCTTATTATGACCCTTCCGGATCTTTCTCTTCTCCCCAAACTTACGGCTTGTCTAATGGCCTGCAGTCTGTCGCCACCTAGTGGTAAACCTTGTGTGTCTCCATTTTCACTGCCCTGCTTCCTTCAGCTTCTGATGCTTGCTTGGACCTTGCCATAATTTTCCAACTCGTTCCTCCCCATCCCATCCTCTGCCCATCCAGGCTTTTTTGATCGCTCTTAGCTCTTTGCTAAAGCATAGCTTTGCTTATACCTATACTGTGCTTGAAAAATATCTGGATTCCTCTTGCCTACAGATAAAGTCCAAACTTGAGAGTATTGTAAGTCCACTCCCAACCCACCAATGCCTTGCCCTCCCTTCAGACTTTCTGCACTCCCAAATGGACTGCCCAGCCTGGCCTGTAGGTCTGTGATGCCACCTCCTTGCTCCTTGCTCCTTGCACTCACTCCCCATCCCTTCTCGATGACCTCCATGCACATCCTCCCTGTCCTTCCAGCTCAGCCTTCCCACAGAGTTGTGTTGTTTTCCCCAGTTGAATGATCTCTCCCTCCCCTCTTCTGAAGTCTCGTAGCTTTTTATTAGCATTTCTCTTATGGCTCTTCTGTATCACATGTATCTATATTTGGAAAAGACACACAAAATATGTATCGAATTGGTTTGGAATCCATTTAACGGAATGTCTTTGGAGTTTTAGGTTAGCCAGAAGTCACTATTGGAACCTAAAGACATTCCTTTCTAGGATCATAGAATTTGAGGTCTTAGAACCTGACCCTCTGGTCCAAGCCTCTCCAGCTCTCAGATGGAACATGCGAGGGCTGCAGCTGACCGACTCTCCGACGTCACACTGTTAGTTAACAGCCTCCTTGGGAGCTTCTGGGTGTCACCCGAAACTGGCCCGTGTATGCGGCGGGCAGGGAGAGACCAAAGAGAGAGGCAAGCCACTCCAGATTGGTAGGTGGACAGTTTAATAAGCAAGGGAACTTACGAGGCTTGTCTTGGGTGGCCACAGGTCCAGTAGATCTCGCGTCTGTTCTTAAGAAAAGATTCACAGCAGCTGTACTCTGTTTTGAAGGGGAAAAAACACTTTTTTGATATTATAAAAATCTAATCAAAACAGAAGAAAAGGGAAATCTGTGTATAGATGAGGGCAGTAGTAAGCAGTAAAAGAGAATAAGACAGAGTTTCATCAAATCGGGTACTTACAACATCCAGCCTCACTAGCTGGGAAAACCCCGTGGAGACAGCCAGGCTGGAGTCCCAATGGAGAGGCCTAGGCGGAGCGTCCTCCTCTCAGCTGAGACTGACCATCCCCATAGGGCTGTATTTATAGAGCAAATGATGAGGTCTGAAGTTAAACAATTATTCACCTACGTGCAGTTTGGTGCGAACTGCATTCCTATGTTATCATGTCTTTACATCTTCAAGGAGCCTGGGCTGGGTGTGCTCGCCTCCCCGCCTGGATTCCATTCCGGGGGCCCAGCCCAGCCTGGAGCAGGAGGGCATGCAAGGCGTCCAGACCAAAAGGGCCAGTTCTGACCTGGAGGCCAGCTAATGTCCACTAAGCAGGCTCCTGAGGTCACCTCTGCAGCACGAGTCTCACACACAACATTCCTTAACCTGCCTGCGTACCGTGCAGGTCAGGGTGGTCGGTTACGCAGGACAAATCCCAGAGGCCTCCATCCATACAATACAGTACCCACCTGCCAAATCTTAAAAGTTTACGTAGAGGCCTTAACTGGGCTCAATCACATATACTGTGCAGGTGTTCTCAATGCCACATCTGTCTCAAGGCTGTGTCCCTCGGGGACCTCCGGAGCAGGGGGGGCAAGCAGAATGCACATTCCGGGACCGGGGAGGTGAGGCACCTCCAGCTCCACAGGTCAGCCAGGTCACGTCTTGTCTGACCTCCTCCAACACACACTGCCCCCCCCCAGCTTCTAGGGCTAGAACCCACATTTCCCACATTTACACCTTACTGATCTGTTCCACATGATTTCACACAGTGGTTTCAAGATTCCCAGGAAAAGTTAGTTTCATTTTTACGACTGTAAACAGTAGCCTGCAAATGCTGCTAAATGTCTTGGGAGTGAAATGTTCATGCTGTTTTATCATTTACAGGTAAAGTCTCTGTGTGCCTCACTGTTGGACTCAAATGTCCTGGTGCAAAGAAATAACCTAGAAATTGTTCTGTTCTTCTTTCCATTTTATACCTGTCTGGTAAGTCGTTTGTGTTCTTCCAGGGAAGTCACTGGTATTTCCTGAGGACGTGGAGCAGGTGGGATAGACCTCAGGCAGTTGGCAGATCACAGTTTGCTTTCAGCCAATTAAAGATCCTTGTTCCTTGGGCGCCTGGGTGGCTCAGTTGGTTAAGCGACTGCCTTCAGCTCAGGTCATGATCCTGGAGTCCCAGGATCGAGTCCCACATCAGGCTCCCTGCTCTGCGGGAAGTCTGCTTCTCCCTCTG